TCCCAGATTTAAACAGTGTGGCATGGTCAGTATCAAGTGAAGCCTTGTGGAGCAAGCTGGTTTTCCAAGGCAGGTGCTTCTCAGCTGCTCCTTGCTGCTGCTGCACCCCATAGTTCACATGCAAATGGTAATGTGTGTATGTGCGTGTGCACATCTAGAAAGATGCTTCCCGACCTTTTCCTGACCATGGCACATGTAGAAAATGACTACATTGGGATGGCACACTGAGGTACCAGATGGGGCTCCTGTCAGCCAAAGCCTACTGGCCTGGTCCTCTGGGTGCCCCTGGGATGAGAGGTATCAATATACCTTGGCACACCTGTGGGAAGACATCTTCTTGGATAATGTGTGGGAAGACAAGAGCCTCAGTTTTACACATTTTAAGTTCTTTCAATTGGCAAAGGGGAAGAGTCTGGGCTTTTCTTGCCCTTTTGCTCCCAGGGAGTCCAGCTCTGTATACCCCCCAGCCCCAGATTCCTGGCCCTATTGTCATGTCATGGACTCCCCTCTATTTCCAGCCTCCTTTCCCACCACACTCTCACCCCCTTTCACACTTCACTTTCTCCCCCAAGCTTATTGCACCCTGGGCATGCTGCACTTTTTATTTTCTGTGAACATCACCCAAGCCCCAAATCTCACAAATCCTTCTCTTTCTCTGTCATTCCATTCCCTCTGCCAGGAGTGCTCAGCCTGTCCTCTCTTTGCTCAGATGTCCCCTCCTCTGTGAACACTGCCCAAGGCCACCATCATATTTTGATTTGTATTATTGGTTGTGTGTGTGTGTGTGTGTGTGTGTGTGTGTGTGTGTGTGTGTGAAAACATCATGTGGTCCCTGATTTCCTATCTTGCCTATAGTAGGTACTTAACAACTGTTTCTCAAATGACCTCCAGGCTGAAGAAGGACCCCACCCCTATTCTTGGTGGTCACTCATTGTCCCCTTGAGTCTGAATTCCCCACCTCCCAGTGGACCTGTTGTGCTGACCATTTCACACTCTGCTACTCCACTGCCAGGGACCTGGAGCCATACAGCCTGGATGAGACACATCTTCCTTACTGAGACCCCCTCCTTTCCCCCAGGTCACCCTCTGGGATTAGCATTAGGCTAATTGTGGTGTGACAAAGGGAAAGAGTGGCTGCTGCTCAGCCTCAGTCCAGGCTCCCCTCCTTCAAGCACCAACCTGCAGTACCGAGGCTTGGCCACAAGGGGCTCTGCCCGGCGACTCTTCGCCCAGTGGAGGAGGCCTGGGTGAGAACAGTCCTACCCAGATGAACAAGGAGCCAACCTTTCAGGGGGTCTCTCCTCTCTGAAATCTCCAAGTGCGGGAGCCCCAAAGCCCTGTTGGCTGGCTTCTCCTGATATTTTACCCCTTAGCCATCTAGAAGATATTGTTTTATATCTTAACATAGTCCTCTTTGCTTTCCCATGAGCCTCTCTTCTCGCCACCCCTTTTACTGACCAACAGTCACCACAGGGGAGGACACCTCCACTTCGGTCATTTCCACCTCCTGTAGATGACCATTGAGCCTAAACCATGAGCTCCCTGTCTTTCAGGATGTGGGATGGAAAATAGTCCTCTTCCAGCTCTTCAGTATCTCTCGACTCTGCCCCCTTCTGTCTCCCCAGTGCCACCCAGGTTTGGGGCTCCCTTTCTCTGACTAAGATTAATGCTTCCTGGAGGATCCCCTGTCTCCAGACAGCCCCCTGCCTGTGAATTTTCCACCTGGAGCTAGAGCGATTGCACTCCCATTAGGTGCTGGCCTTTAGTGGCTCCCCAAATCTCGGATATTCACACAGCACTCCAGCCCCCCCCCCC